TATAATATATAATGGGTTGTAGACTGAAAATGGAAAAAACTGAAGAATATTATGCAAGCTGACAAACTGTAGCATGGACTATAATGTCTACCAATTTAAAATGTCCTGGTTTTGACAGCTGTACTGTGAAAATGGAGTCCTGGGATGCTGCTACAGGATAAACAACAGGCTGCTAACCACAAAGCCGACAGTTCAAAGCCATCAGCTGATTCTCGGAAACCATAAACAGGATCACTGAGTCGGAATCAATTCAATAGCATTTAACAATAACAATACTGGGAAAATGTAAGATAATATCACATTGACATAAAAGGTAAAAATTACATATGTAACTAGTTTCAAATGGTCCAGAAAAAATAGTGTGTGTATATATGTGCATATTTAATCAGAGGTATGACAAAGTACATTTTCATAGTTAATGTTACTGTTTTTATTGGTGACTCTGGGTAAAGGGTACAGAAAAGTCGTCAGTACTATTTTTTTTTCCCCTTAAGTTTGAAGTGTTCTGAAATATAAAATTTAGTCAATATGTTCATTCAAATTTTTCTGGCATAAAGTGTTCATAGTGAAGTCTGATGTTCCTCCTTATAAGTCACTTATTCCTTTTGCTTAGTTAGTCAAAGTATTTTTTTCTTGTAAGTCCAGTCATTTTATTAGAATTTGTCTTGCTGTTAGCTGTTCTGGGTTGATAATCTCAGGTACAGAGTGTGCTGAGATTAAAATGAGTATTTTGTTTTTTCAGTAAAGTGTTTTTCAATTATAGCTTTAGCATTTATTTATTCATTCAGACTAGTGAGACTAATATAGTTTTGAAACACACCATAAATCCGAAAGCTCTACAATATAGGATAATGATGCTGAAAACATAATTATTATCCATTCATTCAAATATTTACTGACATCTACTAGGCAGTTGTTGTTGTTGTTACTGGCCACCAAGTAGACTGTGACTCCTGGTGCTCATGCATACAGAGCAGAACTGCTCCAGAGCTTACAAAGTTGTCGTCTTTCAGAAGCTGATTACCAAGCTTGTCTTCCAAAGTGCATGCAGGTGGGTTTGAAGTGCCAACCTTTTGACTAGTCAAGCACTTAACTGTTTG